TGGCTCGTGGGATTCCGTCCCGATTACGGGGACAGAAGTCCCTCGGAATCCCACGACCTGACTCTATTACGGAGCGACAGCTCTCGAGCCCCAGCACGAACTAAACTCACTCGCTGAGTTTCTAATCCAAGTTACTCGTTGGTCCGTCCCCTTTTAGTGGACCGGCGAATCCTCGATGCGTCGTGAGACAGGCGTTTCCCACCGCCAACCAATCGGCTCACCTTCTCGCCACGTGGGAATTGCCTGTATTTCCGGGTGGGAACCCGCGGTCTGCGTTCATCTCACGGTCAAAGGTCGGGCTGGTTCGGATGCAAGCAAAGCCATTTCTCGCATGGCAAAGCGGACAACCGACCCCAGTGTGGATAGCGCCGACTAAGTGAGCCATCCCGCAATTCATTCTGCCAGAGGCGGTCTGACGTTGCCGTTCTGCCGCGACCCCCCACACTCGGGCGAGAAAGACTAAACCGACGTAAACGCGCCGTGTAAACAGCGCCGGCCAGAGCCACTGCGTTCTAGTGGTGGTGGTGGTGTAACTTTATTTTCCCGGCCCGGCACGCACGCTCCGATTCTCTCGGCAAAAGACGCGCGTTCCGAACCTCGCGTCGTAAAGTACGCCTGTCGCTCGAGGTCGCCCGCCAAGGGAAGTGTTTACAACAGCGCTTTCCCCCCAGTCAAATCTCCGTGGTGCTAACGGCCCACCCGCGGAGCTCTCTCGATCCATACAAGCAGGATGTAGCAGAACTGAAAGCACAGAGCCCTCAGCAACGGAAACGAAAAGCAGACGACCCCTACCACCCTGAAAGCAAAATCCCCCGTCAAAATATCGACACCTCATCAACTGATGACAAAACCAATCTCTAAACAATCTATACACATCCTACAATCGAACTGCCGCAGCCTACAACGTAAACGAGCCAGTCTTACCCAATACCTCAACACGCTAGATCGCAAACCTGACGTCATCCTTCTTCAGGACACGCAGGGCACTCACAACCTTCCAGAATACACACCCTACACCCAACCCAGCATCCCTCAAACCGACCGCAGACAAAACACATACACCCCCACACTTGTCACGACATACATCTCTAAGGAACATCCGTCGATACAACTCAACACAACACACATCAATACCGCTCAACAAGAGCACGTCATCATCACCCTTTAACCCCGCAACTGCCCCAATCCCATCACAATCGTCAACGCGTACTGGCAACCGGGCCGCAAGGTCGCAAATCCCACTCCCTGGCTCACCAAACTCGTGGAAAACAACACAGACCACGACATCCTCTTAGTCGGAGACTTCAACAGCCCCAATGTGTCCTGGGGTTACCCAAACACTCAGCACAATGGGCGCTTCCCCGAACAAGCAACCGCCCAAACGTCGATGACGCTGGCCAACGGCACTACACAACCCACCCGCATCGGTAACAGCGTAGAACGCGATACCAATCCCGACCTGGCCTTCCATCACGGCCCATCCGTTGCTGAATGGTCCGCATCTGACGAATAGCTAGGCAGCGATCATCGCCTCATCCACCTCACACTGATCACCAACGTCAAACAGAAAGTACGTCGCAATACTGCTCGCATCACAAACTGGGATCACTTTCGCTACCATACCTCCGACAACCTCCCACCGACGGACACTGATCCCAGAGCCTGGGCTAACCATCTCCTCCAGGCACAGAACAAATGCACCAAAGAAGCCCAAACCACAACCGCTACTCCGTACATTGACACCCATCTTCTCAACCTCTGAAAAACTAGGCACAAATTGGTGAAAAAATGGAAGAAAACCAAGCACTCCGAACACCTAAAACACAAAATTCACAACATCACCAAAGAAGCCGAAACCTACGCAGAGTAACTTACCACCGAAAACTGGCTCCAACTTTGCGACTCCCTCAACGGCCAACTAGGCACCAAAAAGACGTGGCGCATCCTACGCACACTCCTCACCCTCTCTCAACCTCGCGACCCCCTCACACGCATTATGCTCGCCAGCAAAATTACCTCGCACGACCTCGAGCAACAACTCCGCGACACCTTCTTTCCACCACCAACCGACACACCCACACAGTCCAGAACCTCCAACTCCTCCCCCCGACCCATGCGACATGGAAGCCCCCTTCCCACTCAATGAACTAAAGCGGGCACTTGACTCTCTCAAATGAAACACATCAACTGGCGAAGATCAAATCACATATCAACTTCTCCGCAATCTCGATGACACACAACTCCAGCAACGCCATCGTCACCATGATCCACAAACCAAACAAAAGCTCCGAAGTCAAGAACCTACGACTCATTTCTCTCACCATGTGCACCGGCAAACTTCTTGAGATGCTTGTTCTCACGCGCCTCGAATGGCATCTCAAGATCGTGAAAGCCCTACCCTTTACACTCATTGGTATACCGCAAGAATATCTCCACACAAGACTGTCTCCTTCGGCGATACAATGACCTCCTCCAAGACAAAAGCACCACACAACTCCGCTCACTCCTAAACCTGGACATCTACAAAGCCTTTGATAACGTCTTGCATGACTCCATACTTAGTACCCTCAGAGAAACGTAGTTCGGCCCTCGAATGTAAACTACATCCGCAACTTTCTATCGAACCGCACGGTCGCCTTTAAAATTCCTGGACACATCTCCACACCTTTTCCCTTACACCAAGGAGTATCACAACGCTCTATCCTCTCTCCCACCCTTTTCAATCTTGCCATGAGCAAACTTCCCGCACAACTCGATACCATCCCCCACGTCAAATTCTCCATTTACGCCGATGACGTTACCTTATGGACCAACACCGGTTCCCCCAGCCAGCAGAAAGAGACACTGCAGCACGCCTGCCACACTGTCGCACGCTATGCCATTAGTATAGGTCTGGCCTCTTCTCCATCTATATCGGAACCCCTCGTCGTCTCCAACCGCAAAAACAATCCCGACAGGCAGCTGATCACCATACACCTCGACGGCACTCCCATACCCCAACGCCCACAAATCAAGCTCTCAGGCCTCACCATTCAAAACAACGGTGCAAGCGATATCACCGTCTCTACCCTCCCCAAACAGATAAATCAAATGACACACATCCTCGGCCGCGTTTCCCGCCGCCACAGATGCCTCAAAGAGAGCAACATGAGACGAGCCATCGAAGCTCTCATCAACTCTTTCGTACTCTACCATATCCCCTACACCCGTCAACTAAAACACCTCCAGACACAGCTCCGCAAACCCACCCGCCTTGCTCTCGGCGTGCCACAGTACGCTCCCCTAGAGCACTTACAACAGATGGACCCCTTCAACACACTCGAGGAGCGAGTCGACTTGCACTGACTGGGTCAACAGCAACGCCTAACCACGTCCCTGCAGTGTCGCTACATTCTCAACTCTTTCGGTTACAACACCCTGCACTTCCCTCCCATCGAAACAACAACACCTCCCTGGGATACCATACACCAAATCACCACACTCCCCATACCCAAACATATGAATCCGGACAGCAACCCGGAACATTGCAAGCACAGAGCCAAACTCATATCACAAAAACTCGCCACACTTCAGGCACATTAACACCTCATCTACTACACAGACGCCAGCTACGACCGTGGCACCAAACTCGGCAGCACCGCAATTCACTGTCCCCAGACCAACACAACGCTTAGGCAAACATACACTGAAGCGCCTTCGGCAGACCTCCTGGAGACTCAGGCGCTGTGCTCCGCCATTCACCATGCCATCGCCAACTCCCACGAAGGACACACCTCCATCACTGTCCTGACAGATTCCCAGAAGGCAGTTCGCACATTTCAGTACAACCAACTCCCCAACTACATGTCGCGCGAGCTTCGAGCCGCCCTCAACAGAACCCCCACCCTTCGCTTCTACATCTATTGGATCCCTGGCCACGCTCTAACCCCAGGCAATGAACGAGCACATTGACTTTCCCGAGTCACTTGCACTCCGGGACCTGCGATTGGCTGGCCTACGTCCTATGACCCCCATCTTCAGCGCAATGAATACCATCAACGGCGCTCCGACACACTCCGACAACTCCGCGAATTCAGACTCTCCCTCGTACCACCGCCTCCCACACTCTCCCGACAACAGGCCAGCACTTTACGCCGAGCACAGAGCCACACGCTATCCTCCCCACACTATACTCATTTCTTCCAAGGCGCTCAGGGCGCAACTAAGTGTCACTTCTGCACTGGCTACCCAAACAACACACACACCTACTGGCAATGCCTCCATGCACCACCATCCATCCGATCTACACTTTCCAAGCTCCTTCCCGGGCTTCGGCCCACGTCATGGAAAGAGTGGCTCTCTCCCACAAATCATCAACACGTGCCCGCCATCTTCGACGCCCTTCTTCACCACATCACAACGATCGAAGAGAAGCTGAAGGCATCGAAAGACGCCACCAACTCCCCATAATCCACCTATCCTCACCCTTCTGAATGGCGTCCCTCCTGGACACCACTTCGACACCCTGAACTGAGGTTCAATAAAGATGTTTTCTTTCTCTCTTCCCCTACTGTGCCCCAAGACGAAAAAAGTTCTGGAACTAAACAAAGAAAAATCAGAACGTTGGCAGTCTTGCACTACACAACGTACTGGAGGGATTTTTGACACATATATGTGTCCAGCGACCCTGTTTCTATGTTAAAATAAAAAAAAAAATTCGGACCATATACGCATAACTCGCGTCAGGGGCAGATGCTGAGTAGCGAACCATGCAATCATTTTTCCTTAGCGGTTGAAAAAACATTCTACCGCCTGGTGTTTTATTTTCTTTTAGTGGACAATTATACTTGTCCCCCTTAGGAAAGAACTGTTCTCTTTATACCACTTCTTGTCAAAAAAAGCCTCGCCCTCCTTCCTTTTTTTTTTTGTACGGCTCTCTGAATTTTTGAAGTTTGGCCTGCGGTTCTAACCCCGTGTCACTCTGGCCAACCCTGGTATAGAGGGCCTTTAGGCACGCTTACCTCTGGCGGTGGCAGCTTCTCCGTCTGTGTGCGCCCATTTCTGGAGGGCCGTCGGCGAGATCCCGATCGGCATAGACATCATCTGGTCACCCAAAAGAGTTACCTCCAATTGCCGCTGCGCCACGTCCCGAAGCACTCTTGGCCGGAGACGCAGCCTGCGTTTGGAAAACAGGAAATCTTCCGTAGGGTTTCTTCGGGATTCGCATAGAATCCGCGGTATCATACCCCGGTTTATCAGATGCTGTTAGAGGAATCGGTGGCCGAGTTTGTTGTCGCACCGCAGCTCGGAGCACGTAGAGCCAACACTCGCGCCGATGAACCCATAAATTCTGCGTTCAGTCGCAATTCTTGCCCGTCCCGATTGTAATGAACATCTTAATAGCGTGCGTTTGTGTATCACTATTGTGAGATGCATGTTAAAAATTCCAGATGTTTGGACTGCACTGGCTAAATTTCTTGTTCATAGCGTAAACGTGGAACCACCTTAGGCTGGCTAAACACGAGCGTTTAATTTTATTTTGTTTTGAGACGCGATTTGTTTTAAAACATAAAGTACTTTGTAGCAAATTGACCTTCTTTTAGGTATTTGTGCGTCTGACCGATCGTACGCCATGGCATTGCACGTGACCACAATCTGTTTTGTTATCATAGCAACACCTCGTATTTATTTTGCTTTATTATTCTGCGTCACGTAGACAACTTCCTAATGTGCAAGCTAAGGTCTATGCATTTTACCTTCCTGCTACAGTTACCGCATGCCAATACTCTCCATATTACATAGCGGGGTTCTACAGGAAAGTGAGGCAATGAATGAACAAACTTTCCTACGTACCCCGAGATGACCCCACCATGTGCTAAGCAATGTTTAACGTTCGCTTAATATATGGTGAATTATGTGCATTGCTGCACTTTGAAATTCAAGGTTGGTGATTTTTTTTTTATTCTAAATATTCGCGACTCTAACTAACTATAGGTGGCGCCACTTATTTTCCAAGATGGCGGGTTTAGTGAGGGTCAGAGATGGCGTACCGCTGTTGAGCCTGTCTAATGTGCTGGCTTCACTGAGCGACATAAATTATTTCTGGTAATACGAGGAAGCTAGGGTGTTATTAGCGCAGGTCACCTCTTTAACCAGAAAACAAGAACGGTGTTTAGCGTATTAAATACGGAAGGATGCGCGTTTTAATTTTGGAGCGAAACCGAAACTTATCTTATTTAATTTCTCGACAGATGCCTTAATTTCGGATTCTTTCACGACTCAAGATGTGTCTCACATCGCAAATATTTACTTAGAAAAGTTGTTCCCGGAACTTTATTTTGTGACATACTGTTCGATCCAGGCTGATATTCGTCGTTGTTGAAACAATCAGTGCTGATATCTGTGCGTTCTCGCTGCCTTTTTCTCGCTCAGATAATTGTCATGGGAAATAATGACAATTATCCCAGCACAAGAATAAGAGAATAATTCCAATTTTTACAATATGTCCACGAAACGCATAAACTAATAAACGCTGCTCTCACTGCAACAACCCAAGACGAAATCCGAGTCAGACAGCTGATGTGTGTGTGTGTGTTTTTATAGCACCGCGGGACGCGTAGGACTTCATATTACATCAAGCGTTTAACTGTTTGCTTATCTTGAAACTATGTAAGAGTTTTTCATATGCTAAAAAAAAAACAGAATTATACCTTTCTGGAAAGACTATTATGGTTAAATAGAGTATTCTTTTGATCTTGGCCTTAATTAGAGGCATACATTGCCGTGATTTGTATTATAATAATAATATTAAAATTCGCATATTTGAATAAGTAATTATTTATGCTCTAACATATTTTTGTTGCTTATGATCTAATTTTAAACGCGCGAAGAAATATGACTATGAAAACTGTGCTAATTATCATCACTGGCTCCAATTGCTGCATTTTAATTACAAATAAAGTAAAAATAGTCTAAAATCAATGAAAACATTCTAGCTAATGTGAGAAATCGATGTAAAATTACATTAATTGTGGGTAAAGTATATTGTGCTATCAAAGTCGCGACTTTTGACAATCGGCGAAACGTCCAAAGTCGCCGCCAATATACTTCCGGACCCAATGCCCAAAAGTTAAGAAAAAGCCTTTTTTTTAATTACTAGTTTTTTCATAACATTTATTTACTTTTGTATTTGCTCGCCGTCGTTTTGCCAATCTCAGCCTTTGCAGTTCGAAGGAACGCCTACCTGCTTGCACCTCTGCTCACTGCAGCACGTTTCGTTGGCGTTGGAAGCCGGTGAAACAGTAGTCAGTTTTAATATTGCGTATGCGAGCGAACTCAAGCCCTGTGTGTTTGCGTTAGCTTTGCGTGTTCCACACTGCGCGTGCGCGGAGCCCGAAATTGCGGTCTTGGATGGCGCATGGCGATGACGCGCACGCAAAACGTGGGGCACGCAACTCTAACGCAAACGCACACCGCTTCCGTTCGCTTCTATGCGCAATACTAAAACTCTCCAGTAAGACACAATCCCATACCGGCTGCAGCACTACGTTGGGACAGTGAAGAGTGTTGTTTGCATTCGGAAACGACATTTCGCGAGCCATGATCGCGAGCAGTTTCGCCATGCCCGCTGAGCAGGAGAATCGGGGGACCCTCACTAGAGCGCTTCCAGTTTCTGCCGCGGGAGGGCGAGCATCGAGCTGGAGACGCGAATAGGGTGAACTTATTTCTGGCTAAAAACTCGAAGCTGTTTTATTTCTATCTAAAAAGTAAAATGTTTTGAACACTTGCTGATATCACCTCGGCAGGAAAGCCCTTACCCTTTAGCTTTCCCCCTATCTTTGTAAACCTCAAAAGAAGATGAAAAGATTGTCAAAAAAAGAATTAATATTTTGTAATTGTATGCGTTGTTTAGTACCTCTGATTTCATTAAAAACGAGAGAAACGTGAGCTTAATAATTGTCTTTTAATATCTAGGCCGTCTCTGGGAAGTAACAGCACCTCTAAAATGTACACTTTAATAACGTTGATAGAAAAACCTTTTGTTCCCTTGTTATCTGACTCTTCAGAATGAAATTTAAAACAATTAATATCAACGAACTAGCCTAAATTATGCAGCCCCATCTATCCAGCATGAATAAACTGGAATTAATTCTGCACACCTACTCCTTGCCTAATGAACGCCAAAATGGACATATACGTATCTCGTGCTGAGTATGCCGAATGATATTAATCAATGGTAGTACCTTCTTATTGCAATACCAAAAACGGTCGCCAGTGCGTATACACTAAAATGTATTATACAATTAAGGCTGTAAAAGGGTTGTTCCAGATTTTCACTCATCGCTAATACAATTTCAGCAAACTAACTTTAAGAAGCGTACCCTGTTTAACCGTACGATAGGATGCTGTTGACTGAAGCATCTTTTATTTTGTAAGGATGTAAGAAGGATCTTTGATGGCTGCTACAATAAAATAAGGCGAACACCCCTTTTGAAGGGTGTTTGCTGCACTAACATCCGATTCAAACACCTTTAGACAAGGTTGGTTTAGAAATTATGCTGAATAATTATTGCATGCAACAATGCTTTTCACATGAACATATATTCCTCTAACGCTTAGATATAGTACTATACTTTACGTGAAATACTGAAGAGTACAGAGCAATGCACTAGTAACTTTGACAAATGCAGAGACGTCATCTGCCTATGAGTGTATTTCAATAGTTGAGTAAATAAGGCGGTGAAGCAGTCAACACGATCGTGATTACCCCCTCATGAGTTGTTTACGGTGTCTATATTTTCGGGTTGCATGCATGTGATAACTGCATCTTGCGCGTGTTGCATGTGTACGTGTTGCTCGTAATAACCATCTAAAGGATAATGGTTAGATTGTCAAAAAATTTAGAGTGTTCACCGGCATAGGTGTTGCTGGGAGAATCTTGCTTAAGCCTTTAAGTGTTAACATTTTCGAGCGTGTGGGTGTAATCACAGTTTCTACATGTATGCGGTCATTTTTAATTCCAGTTCTCATAATTATAATTTTTACCAATGTTCATCAAAGATAAGCACTTGGTTATTCTTTAATCTTTATTTTGATTCGAGGAATCCCTCTAGCACCCATACGGCTTTTTTGCGGGGCAAACAATACTGAAAAAAAAACAGCTCTTCTACACATTTGCAAGGCAAAACATCGATTCATTTGAGACGTTTCATATTTGTTGACTATTTTAACTAAGAAACAAAACTTGTTTCTTGCACCGTACTTTTTAGGTTTTACATATTAGGGCCGAGTAGAAAGAAGGTTTGCCCATTCCTGCATTCACCTTCTTGCATGCCTAAAAATACAAATTGAACCCGAAGCGTACCTTGAATATGCCCTCGTGTTCTCCTTGAGCGTTTCCTCCTGGTCCGCTCCACAGTTGTAATAAAGCCTGGCGTCCTTGCCCATGTTGAAGCATCCAGTACGTTCGATGTCGTCCACCGTTACCACGATGTTATCAGTGCCAGCAGCCGTAGTATTCATTGCTACTAACGTTGGCGCTCGGCTTTAACAGAACCATTCGATAGAAAAGTTTTGAGAAATTATTTGAGCGCAAAGGAAGTAGGGGTAGTTCGTTCGAAAAACATCAAATGTACCATATGGGGGGCTATGGGTGTACCAACTTGCTATACACTAGGGGTAATTGAACATCTGCCGACGTATTGTAAGCGAATCGTTATTCCTATTATTAGCTGGGTATTGTACACAGCTGAGCCATCCGGTTCGAATGTACGCGTGGAACGATGCAGATAAAAATGCTGAAACTCCCCTGATCACTTATTTGTATTATTGGGGGGGGGGGGGGGGGGGGGGTACACGTGTGGAGGGTTGCATTAAAGCCAGTGTAAGTTAGTACCTTCTTTTGATGTATTTTTTATTTGACCTGGCGATTTGTTATTCATTAGATAGCAGCGGTTTTAGGATTAAATATCACTTGCCTCGTATGGCCAATTTCCGTTTTTTTTTTGAGCGTTAGGTACTTGATCGTTCCTAGACTTGGACAAAGGTATTTCAAACGCAGGTTCCTTTTTATTAGCCTAATGTTTTATGTACTGTACCTTCAATAATATTTGATGTCAACAAGTTTTTTTAACTTGTCCGAGCAATGACACGGAGGCTTTTTACTCGTCAACATGTTCCTCACAATACGTGGGTTGTTTCGGCGTGAAACGTTCCTTAGATCTTCAAGGGAGGGGAAGGGGGGGGGGGGGGAGGGGAGGAAGGGGGAATGCAGATTTACTGCAGGTAAAAGAATCAATTAAGATCGACGCTCATTCACTGGTGGAAAGGGCACATGATCAACACCGATTGGCTGATTCCGGTGGGTATGGGAGGTTCTGGAAAACCGCCAGGCTTTAACACCCTGCTAGTGCCAGTATCTCCATTCCAGGAACTGCTATCAAGGTTACATTACACGTGTGAATTTGTCTGATGAAGAGCGCCGTGAGCGTAGGCGCCGAGCTCTCTGAAGAAAAGATAATTGATTTTTTGTTGACCCCGGCTAGGTGGCACAAGCTAGCGCAAGTTATAACGGGTACAACCGTTACCATCTATCCATCCATTCATCCTTTTACTTGATGATTTTCACTTCACCTGTTCATAACAGTAAAGTATGCCGTTTTCCCGCTGCAATTAGTCGTCTTATTTTATAAACCCCCTTCTGCACCTTCCCCGGCTGGCATGGGGTCCCCCATCACTTTAATGGCTCCTCAATAGATCTCCGATACATCGATGGTTGAAAACCCTGCTCTAGTTATTTCTTCACATGTAAAACCACTTCACAGATGTAATCAGTTATTTTGACATGGCACGCGGTTTTTGAATACCCTCCTCGAAGAAGGTTTCCGTCTGCGTTCCCAGACATTTCACCACGAGTTCAGCAAGATCGTCAGTCACCACAGACGTTCTTCCCTGGCACGCATCTCCACAATGATTTATTCTTCCCTCCCGAAGCTTTGCGCAACTTCCTTCAAACACATTACACGTTCGTGACGAATTGCGATTTTGGTGACGCATGACGGAAAGACTGAGAACCCCGGCGGCAAATTGTATTAGAAAGCGCATCCAAAATGTTGTTCTACATTATAATAACTTTCATAATGTGTGCGATAATTATTTGGAGAAATGTCTACCTAGAGCACAATTGAATAATAATAATATTAATTATTATTTTTAATATTATTATGTTGTGTGTATGTATACACATACGGAAGTTAGCCTCAATGGGCATCTGGTGTCACACAGGCGCAGTCTTAGCAAGATTCATATGTACCATCGACTCCTTAAAAAAATATTACAAGAAAATTTAACGTTTTTTTTTACTGGAGTTTACGTGGAGAAGGAATCTTTCGAACCAAATAGGGGTGAATATTGCCTAAATATGTAGCATATTTACTTCCTGAACCAGGATGTACTAGCGAGGCAACAAAAACGTTCTCGACAATTTAAGCATTCGTAATCTACTCACTCATGCATCTGCTTATTTTTTCGTTATCATCAATAGCTTTTACCTTTTTAATGATGGACAATATACGTACAGCGAAAATGGAAACAGTAATTCTAGATAAGATTAAGAAAAAACTAGAACGCGATAAAAGAAGGGTTAAAAAAGTCCATACCTTGAACATCGATGGTATTATACAACTTCTGCATGCAGGTTACAGGGTAAGTATAGAAGATTGGATTCACATAAAATGTAAGAGAAATTAGCAAACATCGTCTCGGAACATTAATATTAATCGCTAAAGTTAGATCAGGACAATCTCGATCGCGTCGTCCAGATTCAACGTTAACAACACAAGTGTTTTAAGAGTCTTTTATATTCAAAGTGAGCTCTGTGACCCGAGATGCCTATCATAAAATATCTGTAAGAAGCGCTTCTAGGCATTTTCAGTAATTTCTCGGTGCATTTGCCCAATATGATGCCATACGACGGAGGAAAACTCCATCTTCGACGTAATTAATGCAAAGTATTGCCGCATTGTGCAGGCTGACGTGCAAAAACTCACGTGTAAGTACGCTTGCTAAATTGAGGACGCGGGAAGGGATCTTTGTTGGATCCTCAATCTCGCTTCCAAACAGCACGAACACAAGGAAAGTATCTTGTTGTCGCATGATGCGCACATTTTGCTTTCCGATACTTTTAGCTTTGTATTTTTTTTTGTATGCTACAAACGGGCATTTGAGCGTGCGCCGAAGCCAGCCCTGCTATTCACCTCATAATACTAGCGTACATGACTACATCTACACGGACGAGCGCGTGACCAAGTACAAAACAATAAAATAGACGTACGACCGCATAAAAAGCAACAGGCAACAAATTCCCCTTACTACAGGTTTCCACGGGCAACTCACACACCTGCGTAAAAGTCACGCGCTACATTTACCTCATGTTTCCGATCGTTTGCCGGGGATTGCGATAAGAACGAACTAATCAATCGTTTCAGTGAGACTTTGTAAAGACATCAGTTTTAGAGCGCACCTCTTAGGCGCCCATTTCAGCGTATAGCAGCGTCGCCGTCAGCGTAACTCCTCTAAATTTAGCGGTAAAATTGACGTCACATGAACGCAACACCGTTTCAGTTTCCCCGCTAAATTTAGCAGAGAATTGAATTGGTGTTGAAGGAACGTGACGTCAATCTTCCTGCTAAATCTAGCGGAGAAACTGAATTTGTTTATGGGTGACGTGACACAATGCCGCGCGACGCCATTTTTCCCGCTAAATGGACCTTTTCCATATACCGACGGCACCAGGCGGTGGCTGCGCGAACTAAAAAATCGAGGAAGTGACCTGCGCTACCAATCAATAATGGGAGCTACGTTACCAGTTGCTTCGCTCTCTGAGCAGCGTCGCGTGCCCAACGCAACGAGGTAGGCCTAGCGCGACTTTAAAGAAGGAAATCCGTAGCGTCCACCCAAACGTCGTGTTTTTCTTTCCGTCCACTTTCTTTTTTTGTGTAACACAATTATATATATGCTGCAATTACGTGTTCTACTCGTCGATTTACAGCCTCATTCCGAATTTCCTCGATTTTTTTGTGCCGACTTCCACCGCTTGGCATCGGGCGCTCGCGCGTGCGCAGAACGCTTCTCGGAAAAGGTCCATTAAGCGGGGAAACTGAATTGGTCTGGTTAAGTGGCGTCAAATTTCATGCTAAGTTCAGCAGAGAACTGTGAGAGGAGGAGAGGGCACGGAGGAGGAGGGTGGGAGAGGAGGAGGTGCAGGGGAAAGAGGAGGGGATGAAAGAATGGGGAGAGGTGGAGGAAAGGAGGAGGGGTAGGAGAAGATAAGGGAGGGTGGATACGGAGGAGGAGGGGCATAGCTTCCCCTCCCTATCGTCCCCTTCTCCTCAAGAGCTGCGTTCTAATTTCGCTTTACAGAGATTCGTAAACGCCTTTCTTTTTTTCTGACAGAAGTTTCCAATCAAAAGTGAAATATACGAGAGACATCGATCATTATTTTTGAAGCGTGTTTTTACTTTAACTTAGGTCAAGCCATCCTGTAGCCGCAGTGGTCTCAAACTTATTCGACTGTGAGTTCGGCAACGGTGCACGCCGACATCGTTTGTAACTTTATCGTCCTCTGTGCAGATAAAACCTCAAGTTTCCCACGCACGCAACGCATCGGACGGGCCTTCGTCATCGAGCGGGAGCGACTTCGTCTGCCGTGCGTCGCATCGCGACCAATCAAGGTCTTTGACATCAGCGCCGTCTGCAGCCACATCAACCTACAAAGGCGAACTTCGAAGGCCCAACTCATCCAGTTCGGCAGCGGTGCACGCCGACATCGTTTCTAACTTTATCGTCCTGTGTGCAGGTGAGAGTCCGACAGACGTCGGTGACAGTATCTGCCCGAAACTCTTTGTGTACTGCTGCCGAACACAGTATACGTATGTTCTGTGGGCATTATAGTGCCAACTCTGTTTCAGCCACTTTGCCGTCCGAAATGAGTAAAGACGTAAAAGAGTTTACTAAAGCCATAGATGAGCTTCGTAAGGAAATACGAGCTGAGCTTGGAGGACTCAATGAGAGTGTTAACTTCTGTAGTGGCACTTGTGATGATTTGAAGAAAATACCAGACGAAGTCAGGGAACTACGCAGGGAGATACAAAACCTAACACTGCAAAACAGGGAGTTGCAAACTGAAAACCGTCAGCTCACTAGCAAGGTGGAAGAGCTAGAACAGTATATGAGATCTAATAACTTGGAGATCAAAGGAGCCCCTGTAATGGGCAACCCAATCGACATCGTAAAGAAAATCGGTGAACTGGTGGGTGAACCTGTTGAGAACACAGATATTGACATTTGCCATCGGGTTCCCACTCAAAGAAATGAAAGAAACATCATAGCACGCTTTGTTCAGCCATCCAAGCGTAATGCGTTGCTCGAAAAATGCAAAAAAAAACGATTGACGACCTCAGATATTGAAGCACTGGGATTCGAAAATCCTACGTATGTAGACGAGCACCTGACGAGGCAGAATAAGCAGTTACTTGGGGCGGCAATCGCCCGCAAGTTCAAGACCAGATGTAAATTTGTCTGGACAGCGGGGGGCGGGGGGGGGGGGAGGGGGGGGGGAGTGTATGGAAAGAAAGATGATACGTCGGCTGTCATCAGAATCGCGAACCAAAGTGATATTCAAAAAATGGTCGCGTGATCGAACTGTCCCAATACAGTTCCGATAAGCGTTGCTCTTATCTCATGCCTTCCACTTTTACGGAAGGCTGTGTGTATTATGACGAGTCATCATTTAACCGAACATTTCAATATTTAGAAAAAAGGTCTGTTGGGACGCCGTCTGCTTTTGTGTGCAATCCGTTTTCCATAGACGTTGCTATGCCGACAATTATTGCGTTCATTCAGGCTTAGGAGTGCACAGAATCGAAACAGTATCTAAAAAATGCGGCGATGTCCTTGCCCATGCTTTGCGGTTTAAGTGAGGTAAGACAAAGCGAAAGCCTCCTGCACCATTCGTTGCTGACTAACGCGGCCGATATTGCAACCACAACGACATATTAGTTCCAAAGCGAGCGGCGCTCACTCACTGGAGCACCGCCATGTTTCTCCGCATCCCTACCGAGCCCAGTCACGTGATCTCAAAATCCCTCTCCTAGGTACTGCGGCTAACTTTAGCCGCGGTTAGTGCTTCGAGCAAACGGGCCCAGGAGTTCCTTTGAGGCTAAGCTTTACCCTATAAAGGGTCCGCGCCACTTCCGGTCGCCATGACGGGGGGGGGGGGGGGGGGGGGGGGGGGAGGAGGGGAGGGGGAGAAATGCTTCCGGTTTTCCTGTGTTTACCTTTTGTTTGGGTGGCTGCGTGTCGGCTCTTGGTTCACTAGCGAGCAATTCCGTGGGAGCTACGTTCTATAAAAATCCCAGTGTCGTGCTTTAAATTTGCCGATGTTTACCGGTCCGAAGTAAATGTCACAAGTGAATTCGTTATTTTGATTATCTCCAGATGAGGAACGACGCCACCGAGCCTGCGTGATCGAGGACGAGGGCATTGGTAGGCGGTGCTAGCCTACTTCGATGTGCTGCCGCCATATGGTACAACGAGGCAAACGCGAGAATGCGGCGCCAGCGCCGCTGCGCCTCCATCGACCGCGACGTTACTAAATGACTCAGCTGGGAAACTTACCCTTGAAACGCGGACCGCTCATGACCACCGAGACCAAACTAAATACGATAACAGCGCCACCCTTTAACGACGGGTGAAAACATGAAAGTTGATTTATATATCTACTGCAAAATGGCATGGCGAGATGGCACCTCCGGCCGCTCGCGCGACTCGACCTGGACCAATACGTGCAGCCACGTGGTTCCCGGAGTGGCCACTGCGGGAGAAATGGTGGCGTTGGGATCGCTTTTAGTTTGGTTCGTGAGTACGGTTCGGAGCCACTTTTTCAAAGCAGGCTTTATGGAAGTTTCCCAACTGAGCTGTTCAGGTAATGTTGACCGACAGTCTTCATCTGACGATGGGCGGATGGGCTATTAGTGCACGTACAAATGCAATGTGCATGTTGATCTGGGAAGGAAAGGTTGAATACCAAAGCAAGTAACTCAAAACACTAGAAAATTGTGCATTACAGAGACTCCCGTCGCACTAAGGGATGGGTAATAGAACCTTTCGGAAGATTATCAGCAAAAACCAAGACCAGGTTCGTGGACCCCTGCGGAGAAGCTCGGCACGTATCTTCGGCGCCTAAGGGAGGTAGGTGCCCACCGCCGATGCCTTGCCGTTCACGAAGTAGTTGAACGCGTCTAGGAATTTGGAGCTTTTAAGTCGCTCTGAGGTATAGGAACCAGGCTATTTGAATACGTGGTCCTACAGATGATCCCGGAATACCCTTGGCAGATTTGCCATTTCCTTGAGGAAAAAGTGCTCTTTCTTTTCACCCAAGGTCACAGAAAGGGATGTCTATCCCCTATGAGTAAATTTCAGGAGGTGCCGCAGTTAGTCCTCGGCTGGGAAACTGTAAAAGTGTAGGCTACTCCCTGAGGGTCCTAAAAACCTCCAGAAAAAATCCAACCGGAAGTAAACTACCCCCTGAGGACGTTCTGCCAATATTTGTTTTTGTTTTTGTTCGTTTCCATGGTTTTAACCATGGAAACGAATAAGACCGATTAAGCGATTAATTAATCAATTAAAGGGTGACAATTAGTCAGGCTAAAAGTTTAAATCAACGCCCATCGCTATTCTAAACACATATATCTTAAGTATTCACCTTATGGCCGCCGTTCAATGTTCTTAATATAATTAAACATCCTGATTAAAGGACTTATTTCTAGCAAAAGAAAAAGAAAACCAAACACTTCACTATATCCAAGACCACTCTTCTTTCACGTCTAAAACTATTGCGTAGAAAGTTCTCGGTTTAAGAGACCCGCGACCCGAAGATGCAATTCGACTATAAGAGAAGATAATCTGACTATAACGGAATGGATTCCACATGTGTCTTACTGTACTCCACACGGTAATACGAGTGCGTTCTCCTGCGGTGTAGGCCACGTCCCCAGTGAATTTTTCATGGGTAATTATTGTGTTTAAAGCTTTTCTACAATGTTAATTCTGATATCTATATACCTGATAATACTCCAGCATTTATGTCGATATTCTTAACAACATATGAAATGAACGACATAAAAGTGGTTACTGGCCAGGCATTGGCCATCCGGCTTGCACATGAAACGTGTATTGACGAATTTAGTGAACGATATGCATCACGTTTATTTTGGAAGAAGACGGAGACACGTGTTGCTCACACATTCACTGGCAGTACCTCTCAAAGCTTGTCGGCCTGTATAAGTGGTCGTGGTGCACCACCATCTCAGGACACAGTTGGTCGACGGACGAGCAACCTGCGTGACAAAATATCATGTTGCAAAAACCTCAAACTCCTTCTGGAAGAAAAAAAAAGATGTCCGAATGTTCAAAACCCTGAAGGTTGCACAAAACATGCAGGAGTAAGGGTGTTGTGTAAACTGAAGAAACTTGAAAAAATAATCTACGTACATATAAACACACCTTGGTTATGATCATTGTTTCCCACACTTACCTGAAAGCGGAACTTGGTAACCTTAGCATTTCAATCTAGATGAAACGCGAATATTTTGAGCCCTACCTAATTTTTCTTTTTATAGGCCAAAGCGCTGTTCGCAAACAAGCCCACAGAAGGTGTGGGAAACGCGCGTGTGCAGAAACCAAATTCGGGAAGAGAGAAGCGTCTGCGCATGCGCAGTACCGACAGCAGCGCCACCTCTGTGTTGTGACGTCAGTGAGTTGAGTCGGACCATGCATTTCATCCCTAGCCTTTAACGGCGCCCGTTGTATGCGCCTGTGTGGTAATTTTGAACTAATTTTGGTCTAAAAGCCGGGTTTTTAGTGCTACTCTTACGGAAAGGCAGCCACAACTTAAAACTTACCTTGAAAGTTTGTTCTGGAACAAAGTAAAAAGGTTTAGGTAGAATAACCCTACCGACGTGAATGGTTATCGTATACCAGACTGCAAATCATTGGCTTGTGAGCCTGTCAGCATGGGGTTCTTGTTTTCTCCCGTTTGTCGTCGTACTCATTCTGCTCAAGTCGAAAATGTGAGTGAGCGTTATATTGTCGCCAATAAAAATAATCCGAAAAAAGATAAGACTAAAATAACCGTTTAATTAAGGTAAAGTTTTGCCTACACACTAAAAAAAAAAAAAAAAACTGATGGGAGACGAGTGGGCGATTTCGTGAAGTAACCCGTTACTGTTGCTTTCATACACCCGGTAAGTTCCAGATTGTTCCGAGCGAGAATTAACGATGATAGCCGAGGAGCAGGAAATGTCCAGAAGAGTATATTTCACAAAAACCGTGTTGCGCAGGGTTCAGACCCTGCGTCTCTATTGAAGCTACGTGCATTGCCAACTCCGTCACGCACGCGGCATTACACCGCCATCTAAGAAACAGCGGCCCGCTGCTTATCTGAAGACAGGCGAAAATGAAAAGTTATGCTCTGCATAACAAAATGGCTCGACATTCTCGTACTCGTCACGATAACAGTTCCGTCGAGTTTTCGATTTTGGTCATCATTGACTTGAGAAGTTGGTGCTTGACGTTGTTCGCTGACATACTCGCCTCCGTTGTCGGTGTTGTTCACCGTCGTCGGCTATCTTCGTAGTTTGTCACCGTCGTCGTAGGCCGCCATCGGCCTACGACGATGGTGTCGCAGGCGTCGTCGTTATATTGATATTGTAGTGAGTGCGCAGGCGAGCTGGCATCAGAATGGCGTCGTCGTTGTTCGATTTCGCTTTCACAGCTCGCCATCTCTTAACCTGACTCATCGTGGTCGTTGGTCATCGTCGGTAATACTTGTCGTTTCAATCCATTTGCATTCGTAGTCCTCACAGAGCGTGTTGGTCGCCGTCTTTATATGAGTTTTGAGCGTGGGTAAACCCAGCACCTTCTCCACCAGAATGTTACGGATTAAAAATGGTAGACGAATGGAGAACGTAAAATTAACGCTTAATTCACTCTCTTTATTACTTATTTTATGCTTTCTAAACATAAGTCATCTATGCAATTCTTACGTAGCTGAAGACTACTTATAGGCAGTCTTAACAAGCAAGTATATTTTATTAACTTTTTTTTTGTAAAACACTTCTAAAGTTTTGACTGAAACTATTACTGTGGTTTATCTGTGTATGTCCAGTACCTAGGTTGTAGTAGCTTGTGCGCTATATTAAAATGTACGAGTGCAATGAAAGCAAAAAAGAATCGACTAGATGGGATTTGTTGTGTAACACAAAATAGTACCGCAGTCAATACGAGGAGAAAAGTGGCGAGTCCCTATCACCAAATCCACGCAAAAACATGATAGTCCCTGAGGCCTATTGACGTGCGCTCGTCATGTCCCGTTTTTTTTTTTCTGCGTTGCCTCCTATAGTCCCTGCTAGATTAAGAGACACAGCGTTTCGCGAGTCTTGGACATCTTATTATCGCTGCATTGACAATGAGATTGCGACATTTCCCGAGAAGAGCGCCGAAGTACGAACCGCGAAGCCAAAGTAGCTAACATACTAGGCCACTCTATGCGTTTTTTAAGCTGTGAATGATTATAGGCTGGATATTGTGATTCCTGTTTATGACAAGTTTTTAGACCCAATCCCGATTCCGAATGAGAAAAAAAAAAAACAGAAGGCAGAAGGCAGAAGAAATAGCTTACCCATGAGTGCCAGCGATCGATCCACCTCCTCTCTCAGTATCGCGAGCATCTTCCTCACACCGGCTTCACCCTGAGCACGAAAACAAATTTCGATTACGCTTGCATTTTGATTTGTTTCTATACGGAGTGTAAGTTCGCCTGCTTCTTGTGCAAAGGTTGGTGTTGCCTTAGAACGCCGTCCTCCGATTGCCTCCGATTGGAAGGATAGTGAATAGACCTCAAGGCAGCTAGCATTGAAGTCTACGCGCTACCCTTTCAGTCACAGTCAATCAGAGCTCGGAGTTATGCACGTCGATGCAACCATTGTGCAAGAAGCAGACGACCTTCCGCTCCACCTAATCAACTGCGAACAGGGAGTCACAAGCGATTCCTCGCCCTATCCAGTGCGCGCATGCGCGTGCAGCCTGAACGCAAGTGCAACTTTTGCTAACTTTTAACCATATGGGCTTGTCTATTATAGCAGAGACCTGGCCGGGACAGATGTTCTTGCAGTTATACATAGGGTGACTACAAAAAATCTGGCGCTGTAAAAAGAGCCGAAAAAATCGACCCCTGCACATATCAATTTTAAATTTTTATAGAATGTGCATATACGTGCCGGATTTGACCTGCGGCATATTCAGAGATTTTTGCCATCTTATGTTTTCGCCATCATTTAGCGGGTTACAGCAGCGCTCCTATAGAAGCGCACGTATTTAACATACAAGTATAGCAATAACAACGAAACATCACCATTGTAAGAATTTGCCAATTTTCTACTCCATTTTATAATATCCAACTATTTTTGTACCAAAATTTTAGATGACTTGTTAACCACAGGTTCCTTAGTCGAATAAACTTTTCGATGTCATGCCACTACGCATATTATCTATTGTAATGGGAGGGTACAGTTTGTTCTTGGTAATAAAAATTAGTTATGATTGAATAATAAATGTTATGGCAAATGATGTAGTGTATAACATGTGTTTCGCATCTGTAGAAAAACATATCTCGGAGGCACCTCACCCAAGACTCAGAGATACAGCCAAGCTGAAACGAGCAGAGTCTAAAAACACACACAAAAAAATACAAGATTTGCCCTTCGATAAATTAGATGAATTTATAATGTGCTGCGTACATTTTTCTTTCTCAAAATTATTTTCATTTGTTCCTGAGCCAAATTTTTAAAATAGCGTGGATTCGTTTTCGTTTAGACGTTTGCAATCCCTTCCAGTGTTCTGCTACTGACATTAATAAAATAGCAAACAAAAACAGCTGTTTCATATTATGATAATTTAAAATTATATAAAACAGTTTTCAAGATATTCTAGCTAATTATGTATTTATATGATTAAAACACAACGACTTTTATTGTAAAAAATTGTGCATTGCGATGAATAAACAATTTCAGAGAGTATGATTGTTCTTGTAAATTTAACATTCGCATGTACAAAGTAATATGTAGACGCATCTAAATGTTTACATTAAATTAAATATCCTAATAATCGTGCACACAACGAGCAAAAAAAAAAATGAAGAGCGCTTTGTAATATCCGACTTTATATCTAAATTTTCGAAGAGGACTGAGACCTAAGGTTTCGCAATATCACCGGCTTGAAATCGGTGGCCTTAAATGGTATATTTTGTCGCCAGTTGAGAACACGCTCGATCTCAAAACATACCCGAACATGGCGCGCGTGCCCGAATTCGAAATGACGAACGAATGCCTGAAAACCGTCGAAACATCTCCACTTCGAGTCAAGCTTTCTGAAAGATGGATCATTTAGAGGATTTTCCCCAGCAGTAGCTTGTAATTAAAAACCCTAAATTGTGTATTTCGTCACCACTTAAAAACTCGGCTGATCTCAGGACGTTCCTGGATGAGGCGCGGGCGCCCGAATTTGAAATAATGAATGAATGCGTGAAAATAATCGTACCATGTCCACTTCGAGACAGATTTACTGAAAAATGGCTCACTTCAGAGCTTTTTTCGTAGCAGCAGCTTATCGTTAAGGGCCCTAAAGTTTGTTCTTGGTCCGCGAGACCTCTCATTACAGTAGCAAAAGTTTCGCTTTAAAGTTCGCCATATGTGAAACCAACAAATAATTGCCCTGTCTCTATTCACCGCATCGGCGGGGGTGGGCCCCGTGAGCGTGATTTCACCGCTCAAAACAAACCATCGCTTGGTGAGTTGTTATGAACGAATACATGGGACTATATTTCGCTCCTAAAGAGTGAACGGTCAAAAATCGAACTTGGATTCTGAACGCCAGAAAAGAATTTATATACGAGGCCTAGACTTCACACTTACCACGACAGTAATTTACGGAAAATCGACTGTTTCTGAAATATTTGCTACTGCAACTACCGCTTCTCGAGACGTCTCCAGGTGCCTCGTGCCGACAAAAATCGCATGGCGAACGCGCACGGAATCACTGAAGCATGCAGGCCGTCTGCAACAGTTTCAATGGTTCGCATAATAACACAGTTTTCGTATCGCATTTATTGAAAACATGGCAGCTCTAAGAAAGCTGATTGTGTTTATAAGAACTAATTGTATTTGCGTGCGATACGAGATAGTGTTTGGCGAAAATCATCGCACGTATAGAGATATGCTGAAAATGCAGCGAAGAGAAGCCTTTAATCATCACACAAAAAATATATCCTGCTGATTCTTAAGTTTTTAGTGTGACCCTAAATAGCGAGTGAGCTTGATAATAAGATCGGGTAAGTTGTATATATATATATATATATATATATATATATATATATATATATATATATATATATATATATATATATATATATATATATATATATATATATATATATATATATATATATAGGGTGGTCCAAGTCACCAAGCTCGATCTAAAATGGACCGTAAAAATCGACGCCTGCACCTAGTAATCTACACTTTTTGTCAAAGGTCTATTTCACAGGTCGGTTTTTTCTTGTAAAATATCAAAGCGTAGCTCTCCTTCTGTAAAAAATAGGGCCAAGAAACTTGCCAGGGTCCACGGCGGGCAGCAACGCAGACGACAGGGGTCCAGTAGCGGGGTGTGTTTGGCGTTCGTATTGGTATATGGCGCTACTACCTTATCACGACGGCTCGCGAACACCGTGGTTTATTAAAATGAATATAATATTTTTTAAATGTTTCTTCGGTTAAAAAATAAATGCAAACAATAAAAGCAAGAGTTAAAGTAAAAAAACACGTCTGAATAACGCGGCGCTTTTGCTGCCAGCGGATTTCGTCAGCGTGTCATCTGCTATCCTTCGCTGGTCGGCTGCTCCTTCAGACGCTGCTCCCGACGCCATCTATCAATACGGACGCCAAAACACCCCGCTAAAGGACTTGGTCGTCTAGGTCGCTGCCCGCGGTAGACCCGGCCAAGTTTCTTGGCCCTATTTTTTTACAAAAAGAGAACTACGTGAGCTTTGTAGTTTTACAAGAAAAAACCGACCTGTGAAATACACCTTTGACGAAAAGTTTAGATGACTACGTGAAGGCGTAGATTTTTACTGTCCATTTTAGAGCGAGCCTGGTGACTTGAACCACCCTATATATATATATATATATATATATATATATATACACAATCTGTTAAGGAGAGTTCACTGTATCACACAAGTGTGCAGTGAAGGGAATTTTGTGCCGTCAGAACTCATCGAAACGTGTGCTGGCCTGCACTTCGACGTTAATACGCTGGACGTCGTCGTCGTACATAAATCCGCTTCAAGGTGTTTTTACCTTCTCAAATATCAGAGGAGCGAGATCCACGATCAACCGTTCGCGCGCTCGGGCCCCTCGAGCGTCGATCGAAGCTGTGCACGAACATTCTTCGCTTCCGAAATCCCACAGAAAGTAGACCCCGAGAATAGGGGGCATTCACTGGACGCCATATTTGAGGGCGATGTTTAGGGCGCATGCTCAAAACGAGTTTACATTATTAGCCTGCTCAGACCGGCAATCTTGATGGTGTGGAATGCACGTTTCAAAAGAACTGCGGAAGCTCGCCGTCAGCACGTGCTCGGCAACCACGCACACAAATATGGCCACCCAGTGAATACTCCCTATAGTCCGATCTCAACAGCCCGTTTGACAACGCCATCCCTGCCGCAGTGCATTGAGGGAACTTTAGTTCGGTTGAGCGTGCGACAACCTCGCTAGAGCACTGCGCGTGTAGAGCACGAGCCGGCACGAGAACCTTAGAACACTGTACTCCTGTGAACTAAGGTAATGTCGGCGTCACGCATGCGCCGAATGCTTAGTGAGATCGGTCTGCTGAAGTTTCGTCGCTCCTCTCCAACGTAACTTTATGCCGTCGCGTACTCACTCAGAAGGAACCAATTGAACCCGCGAAGCCATTCTGTCGTTTGCTAGCAAGGCAAAACCGGTCGTTAAACTTTATGACGGGTTTTTATCATCGCTTTATAGTTACGAGACTAGAAAACGTTTCCACGACTAGATGTGGAGAAGACACTAGGCTTACACAAAAGTATTTACTTTTTTATCAGGCGATTTCCAACCTCCCGTCGAGCCCCCATATGTTAGCTCATAACAACGGCCCTGGAAACGGTCTGTTTCAAGAGCAGCGCCAAGCTGTGACGTCATCATTTACGGGGCCAGTTCATACCACGAGGGCACCACAGTATTTTGTGCCCCAGTAGACTTCCGGTAATGTTTTTATTTGTTTTTAAGCAACGCACTCCGATTGGGTAACAAGATGTTCCTTCGAGGAGTTATCTCTAATACGTCTGTAAGAACCTGTGCTCATTGTAGAAAGTAGTAGAGCTAACACAAGGATGCAAAACGAAAAGAAGAAAACAAGAGTAAAACCGGAAGCGCGCAGACGTAGTCCCCGTAATTGCCGATTTAAAGCCTCTCCAAGTTTTAAAAGTAGCGCAAGGTTCGTCGATGCGCGAGGCACGTGGAACGTGCAGCCCTTGGGAGGATCATGGCGGCACAGCGCAGCACTGAGCTATTTTTCAGAATTGGCGCGCGGCACGGGTCTCGAGCATTTCCACAACAATGAATGGCGCCACTTACGCTGATTCGCGGCGAGAAGTGTGAGTATCGCCGCCTGGCGGAATGTTTTCACAGCCTAAAGTGAGGATACTTTAACATTATCTGCTGGTCCAAGCATGAGCAATACCATTCTATGAGCAATAAAAATCAAAGGGACCATGAAATGAACTTACAACTCCTGCCTCCTTATCTTTAATCTTCAACTCAAAACCGAAATGAAAAATCACGTACTCGTGACGTGCTAGGGCACCCACTGCGAGGCGTACAACCTTCCAACTGTGCGTTTTAAGAACACCGTGAAACTTGTCATTCGCAAAAGAAAGGTGCCGTCACGGAACTGGTTGGTCCACATACGCGAATCCAAATATTCGTCGACAAATTGATTGTTGACGAGCGCATACCTTCGCACGGTGGAATGCTTGTGTCCAAAGCGTGAGTAGAATTCGGCTGACGTGTTTGGGCACTATCGACGCATCACAGTGGAAAGGCGAGGAGCTTTCGATTGGAAGGTAATAAGAAATACTCCGCTATGTTTTCACATTTTTCGAACCGAAAGGCAGGCTTTTACCTTTATAGCTTCGTGTACTATTTTGTTTCTTTTGGGGCACTACACTATAATGCGGTTAGTAAATTTCCAATCTATTTCATGCCAAAATTCATTTCATGGTCATTTTAAAACATAACAGCGTGGGTGGCACGTGCACTACCCAGAGTTCGGGAAACAACAGCGCCCCTTGCGAGCTTCTCACCGCGAATGGCTGGCAATACCAAACTTATTTGTAAACAAACATCGGAAAATCGGAAATACAGTCGAGCTTGCTTGAGAATATCAGCCTATCGAAACCTTCGAGCTGTCACAATTGGAAACACTGACCTGGTTGCCTAAGTTGACGTCCAGTTTCAAGATTTAGGCAATATGCACTCATCCGTTCGTTGGATAGGTTATTACCTTTTCTAAAAGACATTCGTACTATTTCGCCAATTGCGCATGACCTTCAGAGTATTTTTGGCTGTTAATTAGACTCTGTTCATATTATTTTTTGTTTTTTGTTTGTTTTTGTTTTGAAGCTTGACATCATTTAAACATGCGTCTATGATATAAATATATTGCATTAAAACGTCCAATAAAAAAAGAAGTCAGGCCATTTTGCTTGAGATCGTAGCGAACTAAATGCTTCCCTGTTTCGCATCTCTTCAAAGCAGAAAAATTGCTAACTAGTCACAGTCAATTGCAGAGTTTTGCTCGTACAACAATTACTTATAAAACGTTAGTGTGTCTTTTCTAACTCTTATGTTGTATAACTTGTTTAAAGTCTCATATTGAACTTTATTTAAGGGCGTGACTCAATCTGCGGGTGGTTGTCTCACGTTGTACGCCAGCCCCCAGACGGCGGGACGTCCGACGAACACGGCCTTGGCGCCGAGTGCCAGTGCCTTGACCACGTCGGTGCCACGACGGACTCCGCCGTCCAGGTACACCTCGACACGGCCACGGACTGCACTCACGATCTCAGGGAGGATTTCAATCTGGAAACAAACGGCATGCAATAATAGTATTGATTACCCTTTTACCAAAAACAATATATCAAATATATCAATAGTAATTTTCTTTTGATGCTAAACGTTCACAGAATACTTTTTTTATGTAATGGTGATGGTAATCAAACCTTGACTGTCACATCATCGCCTTCCCAGACTCTAAAAAAAGGGGTATCACCTTACATCTTTTTGTCCCATATAATGCACCCCAAAACTTCAATTCGGCGTACAGCGAACTGTAATCTAACAGACGGACCCAAATATTACGAGGGGCTTGATAACGGTGCGAGATAACTTTTTAAATAGCTAAGATACGTATCAAAGACCACTGAAAGAATACACTGAGGTTTTGCAGTAGGGCCAAGAAAACCCCGATTTTTTTCGTAGTCAGTAACATGTACATTATCTATTTTAATAAATTGTACCACACGGCCATCAAGCCCCTCACTCGTGAAAGTTAGTACCGTCATATCGACGTCAGTGCGCTGTACGTTGAGCTAAAGTTTTGGGGTGTATTATATGGGACGAAGGGTGTAAGAATACACCTTGTTTTCTGAGAGTGCATGTTGTGCAGCAAGATGCTGAATATTCTTCTCTGAAGTTACACTTTACCTGTCATTGATATCATCTGTTACGTCCCTAGAAAGGCTTGCCGAACACCCTGAGTGCAAACCTTTTCGAAAGACCTGTTTTGCGATAAGCAGGTATGTGGATCAGTGACGCTACAATTCAAAACAACTGCATGAGAAGCCAAGCTTGATGTTTGGGTTCTCGAGTCAGCGCTTTTTTAAAAAATATATAAGAAAAACGATTTAATGTTGCACGAGTTTTTCGCCAAGCTATATACATCGCGTGCGCAACGTACTCATTACGGTTTATTTTTTTTTAGTTTTAAGTACATTGATATTGGGACGTTAATGTTAGAGGGCGTTCCAGTGGCCCATCATAACTGTATAACAAGCCTTATCGTAAATATGAAAATAAGAAAAGGCATTTTTTTAAATCGTTTTAGGTGGGGCTGTCCTCTTTCGTCATTACTTTTTTTATTGTACATTGAGCCGTTCTCTTTCAGCATAATTCTTATTAATCAGGTTCACAATATTTGCTTTAAACACATGCAAGTTTCGCATTTTGTCGTATGTCGACGGCATTGCTTTGTTTTTTCTTACTGAAACGGAGCGTGGGAATAGTGGCAGAAATTACGAAAACGTTTTGTTCGCAAACTAGATGTGCTGTAAATTGAGATAAGTTATCGTGCTCCTAGCACGGCGATTGCAAGTCGAAGCAGTACGTGTTCGAAAACAATAAATGGTCGTCTTTACCGACTCGCTACTTAGGGGAGTCATTGGAGCTTGGGGTCAACACATACATCGAGGAAATGCGTTCACTTTTGAGTCCTTGCATCCACCGTGACACCCCGTCCAACGAAAAAAGTTCGAGGACACCTATGCACTTTTTTAGAGTTGTGAATGCGAAAACATGAATGTCGTTCTTCCGCTCTTCTAGTTCGTCTACGGTATACTGTCGTGGACGACCACGTTTCGCACTGCCGAGGCTGCGGCCGCCGACGATACACATGCCTCAGGCCCCGTCATGTTCCTCGGCACCGAGAACGCCTGACACGAGAGCGGCCAAGCGCGCGCAATTGTGACCCGGCCGCCAATGGCGATCTAGGAGCCGCTTCGCTCAGCCAATGGGAGAACTGGGAATTTATTTCGTGTTTTTTCGCGGTTACAGACGCCGCAGGGCTCCGCTCCATTGGATAGTTAATGCGTCTGCATTGAAGGGTGCTCTCAAAATCTGTAAAGCAACGTTCGCTCTTCGCTTCCGCTACTAACTTTACCTTACCTAAGGAGCCCGGGGTAATCTGATGATAAACATTTCCGAGAGCAGCAATAGACTATATGCAGAAAACCCCAGCAACGTGGCGAACTTGGTGAGGAAATTAAAGTGGCAACTGCTGCCGTGAAGCTGCTTCAAGCAATCGTGAAAAGTGACGCTCTGGTCAGATCGAGAAGTACGGATTTATTCCAAACGTGATTGCAAAGCTGAAAAACGCGAGGCTCAGTTGGGAAACTTGGATTTAGTGGCCGAGAAGTCGGACTGCTCAGCGAAAAACAAATTTTGTAAGTCGCTAGGTAAGAACCCTGACATAGAGTGGGTGCATTCACCGAAAACTCCGAATGGCGTTTATGACTTGTATGCCAAACGAGCCCTCAGGGTTTTACCGCTTGTCTTTGTGGAAGAGGAGGGGTACGGGTGGGAGACTAACAAAGAAAAGTCAAAGCATAAACAAACTAACACTTGAGATGTTCCTGAACATTTCCTTTAACGCACAAGATTAGAATGGGTGTTCTGGTAATAAAACTCAGAATAAACTTTTCAACGCTAATAAACACTCTGAGCGTGCTCACAGGAGCGTAGGTTGTCCCGGAAAGCGTGCTGATGTTATGGCGCTTCCTGTCCCAATTTTGTCCCGATTTCACCACTAATTTTGTCCCGGAAATCCCAGCTCTATGAATAACTCAAACTGCGTGCTCGATCCAGAAAACTTAAAAACTGGCCTTGATTTCAACATTGATTGACCTAGTTTCTTCAATATAACAGTGCGCCCTGAAACGTATAATTGAAATGTAATTACTGAATGTTCGTTAATTAGTCATTTATTAGTTGCATTTTCACTTAAACATAGCGTCAACCTGACCGTATTACTCACTTACAGAGACCTCATTTGTGTAGCCTTCACGACTTTTTTTTTTTTTGTTGAAATCCGTATTCAATAAAAAAACAGTATGATGTCAAAAGAATTTGATCAAGAGGAACATGTGGAGCTTAAGCCCGAGTTCCAGAACCTTACCACCAAACTTACTGAAGAGTGTGTTTCAGCAAGCCAGGCTAGAATTTGGAATGTCCTAACTGCTGAAAGGCTCCAGAAAAAGATATAAAAACCAGATGGCAGTACACGGCATGTATCGCAGAGCACTTATATCGCAGACTAGCTGGTTATGGTCGAACATATCTTGAGACAAAACCCAGAGACTGGGAAAAAACGTATTGTCCATCGCTTTCTTTATCTCGGAGTTTCGTCATAACATATGTTAAATAAGCAATCGAGCGTCTAGAGGACGCAGTCCTAGAATTCAAATAAGACAAATAAACTTTTATGAAGCTCAAGTGAAATATTTCGGCCATGCACTAGAAGCGGAAAGACTGTAGCCCTGGAATATCGGAAAAGGTAAAAGTCATCATAAAACCTCAGGCGGGTACGAAAGCACCCATGTCCCATTATCTTTTACAAGCGTATGGTTTAGATTACCTTTCTTATCATGTTGGGCTACCGAATCACTGGTATTTTGAAATATATATGGTATCAAAAAAGGAGAGCGTTTCTTAAAGAGACAAAAGCGTTTGACAACAGCTAAACACTTTATTTTCTTAAAGAGGGATATTATTCTTTGTTATGGTGCACCTTATGAATTTGAAAATATCTGCTCTTATTAAAATTCAAAGGGATAGAATTATCCCAGAACTTCCGCTTGCAAAATTCACAGCCAGTCCTACAAGAAAGTCAGGCATTAGCTTTCGGTGTGACTAAGACTCATCACTACCTCTCGGGCAATAAACTGAGGATGAACTTCCCCTTAGCCCACTAAGGACGAGCAGCTACGTTTTCAACGTATAAGTACTAGTTGGTCTATTAGTCAGGCTTGAGAACTTGTGACGCTGAAGCATCGGGTCGCTTAACATTGTACCTGGATGACCCACCAGGTGTAGAGATCAACCAATCTCTTCATGTTAAAAGGGCGTAATCTTACGTGGTCTCTGGTATAGACTACGCGCAACATACAGAAGCCGTCTCAATAGTATTACAAGTTACGCGTGCACTCTGTTTCGCTACCGACCTATCACTCAGGGCCGTTTCGAACCAAGTCTTCTGCTGATGGGAACAAGAGGAATCACTCTAGAAATGGTGTAAAACCTGGGTCTCAAGTTGGAGCGCTGAGGTCATCCAAAATTTTACCGGCACGTTTGTCACGGCTTTCTTAAAAAGTGTTTTAAAAAAAAACGCTTCGTAAATAACGCACCGTTGCTGCAACTCCGTCCAGCAGCCAGCCACCGTGGTTTGAGACAATTATCGCTGAAACTCCGTGGCTGATGGCTTTCTCCGCATCATCGGCTGGAGAAGATGGGGAAAAAGGTAATGTAGTGATTGCGCAGGCGAGCTGGTGGATGTTAACCATTTTGTTCTTAGCCCGAGACTGAGGCAGGAAAAGAGGAAAGTTTCAAAGTAGAAGAAAAATGAACAGTCTACTTTGAAACTTTCCTCTTTTCCTGCCTCAGTCTCGGGCTAAGAACAAAATGGGAAAAAGGTGTCACCAATAATCGTAGTATTAGTCTAGCGAAAGTTAACCACCGGCTTATGGTACTCAGATTACGTCTGCTAAGTACTTCTCACCCAACGACAAAAAGTGGCTCAAGATCAGCATCAACATAATCACGTAGTACGTTATAGTGTGCTTCTCGCACCTCCGGAAACTTTTTTGGTCGTCACTGGTATGCCTCAAAATTGATTCAACACATTATTATACAAATTCGAACTACTGGTAACCTAAATGTAAAGGAACAAGAGTTCCTTTTTGTGGGGAAGCTGTAGAATTTACAAATTTCGTCTCCGAGGCTGAGAGGCCCCACTGGCAACATTAAAACGTCACGTTTTATTTCGCAATACAGAGACACTACAGCTTGTTCCCGCGAGTTACAAGAAGTTTGTTTATGTAATGTAAATGCAGAAAAAGCTCACGCCAAAACTTGGGTTTTTAGGCTGACTGCTCGACTTGCAAGCTATACAATATACGTATACAACACCTCTATAGAAAAGGGAGGGGGTGGGGGAGCATTTCATTGTTGGGTTTGGCATCACCCTCTTTTGGAGTTTTTTTTTAATAGCTATTTAAATTTATTAATGATATAGAAAAAGTAGGGAAGAGTATATGCTGGTTTATTCCAAAATGTGTTCAGTTTGGGTATCTCAGATAACCGCCGGAGATTCCCTTGAAGGGGTCGTGAAACAATGTTGGGTTGGATTATTCCTCACTTTACTCAAGCTTACCGGCCCAAATGATTTTCAGATACACTCAAACGCAACGCCGATGAACAAGAAGCTTCATTGTCAATGAGTAATTTCAGGGATTAAAGCGGACGTTTTCTTTCAGTTTCTCCTTCGGATAACTTGATGACAAAGTTCCGGGAATTACATAGTTGGCGTTGTAGACAATGCGAGCCTCAGGATATCGTCATGAAGCTTTGTGAGCCTCACGTTGGCAATATTTTGATGCGGCTTATATAGTGTACACGAGCACTACGTGAGAATGCGATTCTGTCACCTGAAATTCAATGATGAAAATCACTATGGGCACGAGCCACTACCGAATGCACGTTTTTCAGTAATGGCTCGTGCCCTATCGTTGCAATGGCGGGAAATAGGGGAACTTTATCAATAGGGAGCTTTATAACAGAGTGATCCCACGCTTCGGTTCACCCAAAGAGCTTGGGGCACTGCACTGCGCACGCGCAATACGACGCCTCAAGTTCTCTGGGGGACCAACAGCTTTTGGGATCCCCTATTTTAAAACTCTCTATTGTGTGGAACGTAGTGCGTTCCCTGCGCATCACTCCATCATGTGACTATGATAAACATTGTCGGCCTATACGAGTCAGCGCCAGATCACGTGGCTTCTTGTTCAGGCTTCGAGTTGAACTGGTGAAGTGCCTACCGGTGGGAGCTGAGCGAGTTGGTTCACATCCTTGGGTGGTGCCAGCTGCACACTTATAAACACACAAATAGAAAACCGCTGGATTATCATTTATATTGAAGTCTTCTTTTTCCTTCACTACTATCAGTATTTAGTGGAGAAGGAAAGTTTCAATCCAGTGCGTAAATAAGGAATAAGAGCGCTTCAATTTAGCGTGTAGATAAGGAATAAGAACGCTTCAAACCAGGTTGTAAATACTGACAGTAGGGAAGGAATAAAAAGGCCTCAATACAGTGACGTCACTACGGTCAGCGGCACCCGAGCCGGTACCCGCCGCGACAGCCCCCCTCCAATCTTCTAGCCCACACGTTGCCCGCCGAAACACACCCCGCCCCCACCTTTCATGGCCCGCCGCGACACCCTCCCCCCCCCCCCCCCCCCAGCCCCCCAGCTTGTCGCCAGGCACAAACCCCCTCCCCCGTTTCACTACGCAGCTGCACCCCCCTCCGTGCTGCACTCGGGCTTTCCGCCCCCCCCCCCCCTCTCCCCTTCGTGATGCCACAGCTTTAATATAGTTGATAGTGCAGCGGCTGCTTATTTGTGTGTCTGTAATTCTTCAACTGGCACCACCCAAGGGGTGCCGTTGCTCGTTTTTCTCAACTTTTGGATGACACTATTATTCCGTGGAAAAAGGAGACTACCCGCGCTTCATACGTTATGAATGTCGAGGAATAATACAAAGTTATATTCATTGAAGGCACAAGATGTGTTGCATTGCCACTTAAATCGGTAGCTCAGGAACACAATAGTTTTCAGTAATAACGCAGTAGGAGCGAGATTTTCAAGCTTGTGCGCACCGGTGGTGATTCCCTTGAGGATCACGGGTAACTTGGTGATGCTCCTCAACCAACTGACGTCATCCCAGGTCTGCGAAGGGTCGACCAGTCCTTGCTTTCTGATGAGCGGCGAGTTGGGTACGGTGTATCCGTCTTCCAAGATTCCTTCAAAGTTGGCAAACCTGGATTTTGAATCACCCCGCAAAACACTTTCCTCGACTGCGGATGAGTTCTTCGTGACACACTTTTAGTCCAAAGACGCTCTAAATAACAGCAAGCGTAGGTGTAGGTATATCTAAAAGATTAATCCGGCCATGTTAAGGACATTTGGAATTATTCCTCTCCAGATCTATTTTTATTTACTTGCTCTCTCATACGTTCCGAATATTCTTAGTTCATTTTCCTGCAGAAAACAAAAATCCCGACGAACGATTCGCAACTTTTACGACCTATATAGGGGCGCACTAGTGCTTATCAAAATGACTGTCATCTTGATGATCGTCTTAGAACTGCAGCACGAGGCTGGGCCTGCGACACTTAAGTAATTCTGGTTTCGCTAAATACGAGAAGTATTAGAGCCTCAATTTATTTTTTCACGTCAGAAAGGTCTAGGCAAGGAGGTAGAGAAAGCGATTCTCACACCGCGGTACCACCATCGCTGAAAGTTGCGAATAGAAATATCCAAGCAAATAACGAAGCTCGAAATGCAATAAAAAAAAAAATGTCCGATATGCACAGGGACAACCAGCGTGACATTTCTCTTTTCCGTTGTCCCTATGCTCATTGCAATTTTAGATCTAATCGTAATCTGTGCTTCGTCAGTCATTGGGATCCTTCTGACTCACTGAAGAATAACATACTATAGAAACATTAAAGAGAAAAAACACAACAACGCCCTTTTGTAAGTCTCCATTTTTCTTGTTTCTTTTTTTTTTAATTTTGAGTATCTTTTTGTTTTATCATGCACCAGATTGCTTCTGCACTAGGCAGCCGGCAACTGCCAGGCGGCGCCAACAGGGTGAGAGCGCACGGTTTTACACTATCTCGTTGTAACTTGGCAAACGGCGAACGATAAGCCCCACATTGCGTGCCGAATGCTTCGAAATGCGCGACGTATACGAGCGCAACGCACACATCTTGGAGCATGACGCAGCGAAAAGTCTGATACTTTTTCGGAGTTAAGGCGCGCTCCGGTGATACGCAGTCACGTTCCGATTAGCCTGCCAGGGCCGTAGCTTTCGCTCTACTGGCACGTTACGCGATCACGGCTTACTGGGATACCCAGTATTTCTTGCTTCAGACACTAGGCTCAGGGACGCCACCAGAGTAATAGCTCACGTTTGAACAATGCAGCCGCCACTCCCAGGGGTACCCAATATTTCTTGCTTCAGTCGCTAGATGGCGCCAAACCAAACAGCATTGCAGGTTGCCTCTAACTCTCATTTCAAGTTCTAAACCTTTGACAGCTGGACTCAACTTGTAGCGCTTCATTTTTGGCGGAGACTGAGCGTTATAGGCGACGCGAATTTATATTTTGCGGTGAAAGAGACACCAATAAAGTTTCTATCGCCCTCCCCCCCCCCCCCCCCCCCCCCTTCTTTTACTACTTTCCCGCATCTTTTGCAAAAAGTAAATTAGGTACAGTTGTGTTACAGCGGTCGTATTTTTATACAGCATCACAAAAGGTGTAAGTTGTAAGCACACAAATCTGTTTTAGTGAGCACAGCGCCGTACTAAAGATCGTACACCTTCTTTCTTGTAATCCAAAACGCTGTTTCCAAACAAATCAGCGTTTTTCCATATCATGTGTGGGCACTGCACGTTTGCAGAAATCAAGTTCGACTGATGTGAAGTGAACGCGCCTGCGCCACGCCAACAGTAGCGCAACCGCAGCAGCGTGACGTCATTGTAGCGCGTTGGTGTATAGACCTTTTCCGCTTACTCTCGCCCCCGATTGTCACGTAGGCATATCCCGTATGGGCGACGAAAAAGTATCAAAACTTTTCAACCTGCAAATAGTAAAAAAAATAGGAGGGAAGGCAAAACGAGAATGTGTGACGGTTACGTTTATGTCCTAAATACCTTCTATCGGCGCGGCGACGGCAAAACAATGTTTTCGCCCATACTGGAAGTGACGACAATTCAAGATCGCGGCGCCCTTGCGAAAAAGGTCTATAGACCATTCCATTTAGCGCTCTCTGGGCGGCACGATTTTGTTCGGCAGCAGCGCCCCCTCGATACATCCGGGAAATTCAGCGGGTTCGGCGGGGCAAAAACGAGAGAGAGGGCACGCGCCCGACTCCGCTAGCAGACGACAAACCGGGAGGTTGCCATTCTCCATCTTTGGGCTGTACCGGCAGGCTGTACGGAACGTCGAACTCTCACTCGTGGCTGCTGTTGCGGTAGAGCCAAGAAAACTTCGATTATTTTTTTTTTTTTTGTAGTCAGAAACACGTACATTACCTATTTTAATAAGTTGTACTACACGGCTATCAAGCTTCTCGTAACATTTAAGGCCGTCTGCACGACTGCAGGCGCTGTACGTCGAATTGAAGTTTTGGGGTGTATTATATGGGACGAAGGGTGTAAGAATACACCCTTTTTTCTGAGAGTATAGTCCAAAATCAGCCTATAGCTCTCTGTTGTTCTATTCCGGCAAATGATCAACTAGCATATCCTTTTTCCGTTACTTAAATATCAGTTGAGTCAGCCGGCAGTACTACCCTCAACTATTGCGTGTATTGCGGCAGGAGAGCACGTTTTTATTTAATATTTCAGACTTTCACTCATGGTCGCTAAAGGCCTACACCAGTACGAACTTTGTATATAAGTGCAGCAACCGGATTTACATTTCGCCGGGTAGGCCGGCCATTCTGACACAGTTTTCCCAATGTTTTTTATTTGCACGCAGGTAACAGCGCAATTGGACCCTGTTAGTCTTTTCTATCTGGCACAGTATTACACGATAACTGTCATACCAAAGTTTGCGCATCTGCGCTTCAAATTTCCAAAATGACGCGATTTTAAACAGAGTTTGTACGCTAGCCGGGTGCTAGGCACAGCCCACTCGGCGGAGCGGAAGACATGTGGGTGAGAGGGGGAGGACATTTTTTTTCTTTATTACCCTTTCTGCTATGACCCTAATTGAACGGTCTATAGGTTATTACAGCTCCCGTAGTGCTTGGCTTGAGACACAAACAGACCGATGTCAAGACACCTTTTCTGCACGCAAGGCTTGATTCGGTGCCACCCATTGATCGGTACATGTACCGAATTTCGAAGAGCTGATTTTTATGTAATCTCTCGTAGCAGAACCGAGAACTCCATAGCCTCAATACCCACTGCTGCCCGTTTCGATTTGATGAGCATCGTTCCGGCACGCGGTCGTGTACCACTCTCTGCGCAGTGTAGGTAAAAGACACCAAACAAGCAGCAGTACCCTACCGGCAAAACTTTATTTCTTCTTCAGCATAGACACCAGACGCACATTAGGGAGGGCTCACTACTTTTGCCCTGTCTAAACAAGAACATAATACAATACCTGTTTGTCCTTAAATATAAACTGGCCGTTATCAAGACGCCTTTCTGCTTTGAACGCTTTCCTTGATGTGAGCCCTTCATTTGGGCATATCCCGATTTTCGAAAACCTGAATGAACGCACCTGATTTCTTTCGGCATGCTGCAACCCTTCTTCCGTCTGGCGACATGATTTCCAGTCACTGTCATGTCCGCGGTGAGCACGATCGCTCGGCAGCCGGCCCCTTCGGCGCGGCTAACGAGGTTCCTTGTAAGGTCTCGGTTTCTGAAGATCTGCACCTGGAACCAGCAAATGCCCTCTGGTGCTGCCTGCTTCACATCTTCGATGCTGGTGCTGCTGTGGGTGCTCAGTATCATCAAGGATCTCTCAGCCTGGCTCCCTAAAGCAGTAAAATAAGACATTATCACCTTGATCCTACGTATAAAAGTCCGAATCATGAAGAAGGGAGACTTGAGATGCTGTTAGCTCGACGCATGCTATTTTTTATTGCAATTTAGTTATTAGTAGTCATGTGACTTCAACCCAGCGATTACGTCACAAGACGACAGTTACTTAACGGTGTCATGTGACACTGTGACATTCACTTACGTGATCTCGAGGCAATCTATGATCACTATGTCACGCGACCCTGTGACATCAAGGTGCGCGGTTGGGCACCGCGACGTCAAGTTGCGTGGCCATGTGACACTGTGAGGTCACGGTATCACGTGTCAGTGACGTAGAGTGACACAGTCACGTCCACCGCGAAGTCAATCACATGACCATGTGACCCGTATAGGCACGAGCCACGTGATAAGATGTCCCACGTCATTGTCGCACGCCATATTATTATGTTCTTATTACATATCTTTGTGACAATCAGGACTTAGAAACCAGCCCATAAATGTTAATGAACTGTTTTAACAATATGAGCAGAAAACTATAGTTGGTTGTATTTACAATATGTGACGTGTGCTAAGCTAACGCAGGTATGCGATATACAAGATTTCTGTAAATGAGGGTTTACGTCTAAAAAAACTGAATGCATGACTCCTTTTCCAGTTCGGAACGACAAGATCTGTGACTTGCACGGTAGAACGGGATAGCCCAAAGAATAAGAATGGACCTTTTCCACATACCGACGGCACCAGGCGGTGGCTGCACGAACTAAAAATCGAGGAAGTGACCTACCTGCGCTACCAATCGATACCGGGAACTGCTCTACCAGTTTCTTCGCTCTCCGAGCTGCGTCGCGTGCCCAACGCGAGCTTAAAGGTGGGCATTCGTGGCGTCCACCCAATCGTTGCGTTTTTCCTTCCGTCCACTTTCTTTTTTTGTGTAACCCAATTATATATATGCTGTAATTACCTGCTCTACTCGCTTATCCACAGGCTCATTCCGATTTTCCTCGATCTTTCGTTCCGACTTCCACCGCTTGGCATCAGGCGCTCGCGCGTGCGCAGAACGCTTCTCGGAAAAGGTCCATTGTTTTGTGTTTTCTTGTCTTTCTGGAAGTTAAATGTGTTTCCGGCGAAATTTGAGAATTCGGGAGAGAAAGGATCGACTTTCATATTTTAAACAAAAATATAGTTTGCAATTATATTTTCTTTCATAAATTCTAATATTCTAAAACTTTCTGCCCCTTTTCCTTTTCTTTTTTTTATTTGCCCGCTGAACTGTTTGGGCATAATATTTAAAAATCAAAAATATACTTTATGTTGTAGCTCCAGGTGCTGTTATCCTGATATAAAGTATGAACTAGTTTTATGTTAATTTATATATTAGTATCGTACACCTCGTTCGTTATGTTGCAACAATTATGTTGGAACGTGAGGCTTGGGATGCAATTATACAGGGTGTTTTTTTTTTCTACTTACACATTTGATTAAAAAAAACCATGAAAGCTACACTAATGCGGTTTGTGCAGGTAGGTTATACGGTCAGGCGGACACTATATGGGTTGCTAACCTTTGCGATGAGTCGGTTAATTAAACAAAATTCGTCAATTAACTTTTCAATTAGTGGAAATAAACATATGGTTTCAATTAGAAACTTGTAGAGCATCATCGAAAACCTCTAAATCAACTATTTTTGGAAGGATATAACGCCGGGGAAGCATTTTACGGCGTTCTGCAAAAGCGTTCCATTTGGACGTGTTTCTAGATTTTGGTTTCTTATCGGAGCGCATCACCGCGCCCGCGGTCCTGCTCCCCAGTGGCTGAGACGCGCAACACACGTGCGTACTTACCTCCATTCTACGAGGGAGGTGAGGAGATGGCTTCGCGCCGCGACCGCCGTGGAGCAGGATCGCGGGCGCGTAGATGCGCTCCGATAAGAAACCGAAATCTAGAAACGCGTCCAAATGGAGCGTTTTTACAGAACGCCGTAAAATACTGCCCCGGCGTTATATCCTGCTAAAAATAGTTGATTTGTGGGTTTTCGATGATGCTCAGCAAGTGTCTAATTGAAACCATAGGTTTATTTTCAGTATTTAAAAAGTTAATTAACGAATTTTAATTAATTAGCCTACTTATCGCAAAGATTAGCTACCCACATAATGTCCGCCTGGCCGTATAACCCACCTGCACAAACCGCATTACTGTAGCTTTCACGGTTTTTGTAACAAATGTGTAAGAATATATATATATATATATATATATATGTGTGTGTGTGTGTGGTGTGTGTGCGTGTGTGTGTGTGTGGACTAAATACCGAGTGCATGACCAATGACTTAAATCTTACTGTCGTAAAGTAACAACGCCCTCTAGACAAACAAGAAGTGCAGTGCTAAAATGCTGTCACCATCATGCTACCGGAAACGGAATTCAATTAGAGCTTTCTTAGCTGCATCGGTAAAATAGTTGTTTAGGAAGTGAATATCACGCAAAACTTTAGGCACACTAAACTATTGCCTGCTAATCCTTGATACACAGATTTGAACTTTTTTAACAAAATGTGAGCTTCACCACAAAAAGCAAAAAAAAAAAAAAAACACTTAATATAAGCCCAACACAATCCAGCAATCTACAATAACACCGCATAGAATATACAAATTCTATGCACACACATTACAATAGGATTACAGTGCAAACGAGCGCAGGCACAGAATATGACAGCATTGCCGCGTCCGCCTTGGACTAGGCCGTCCCATGTCCAGTCATTTGATCCCGTAAGCTTGTCGTCACTGCTCCAAACGAACGGTCGATCCGTCGCTAACATTGCTATAGACGAATATGGGGGACTGGATTTCGCACCAAAAGAACCATCGTTCAAAAATCGGACATGGCATTTAAACGTCTAAAAACCATAGGTATAAAAAGCCTAGATGTCAAACTTACCAAGACAGAAGTTCGGCGAGAATCGGCTATTTGTGATGTTATTTACGACGGCAACTTTCGGTCCTCGAGAAGCCTGCTACAGACGAACGCGTACGGAATGACTGAAGTATTCCGTCTACAGTAGCTTCACTCGTTTTCATAATGGTATGAATTTGATCCTGTATTTATTGGGGGGAACATAGAAGGTCTAACAAATCTCATCAGGCTTTATAATATCTAATTGTATTTGCGTACAACGGGATACTGTGGTAGGAAAATCATCACACTTATGGAGATCTGCTAAGAATACAGCGAGAGAAGCACCTGTTTGGAACATGAAAGCAAATTAGCGTCAGGCCCTCTTAGATTTTACATTATATATGCATTGCATTGAAGGAGCAATCGCTGTGACTCTAACACGATTGGTTCGGGGCACCAACCCTCGCCTTTTAAGCTTGCAGTATGGATGTTTGTTTTGTTCCTCCTTGTAATCAACACATTGAGAAGAAATCCTGCTGATTCTTTCGTTTTCAGCAAGACATGAAAACGAACGATCTGCATGAACCAAAAAATCAGGTCAACTATATTTTTGAAATGAACTGTTCATTTTATCACATAATTGTGTACTGAACCAACTTTTGTGACATGAGAACTCGATAATACAAGACCCGGCCTACACTAAAACCTTGATATCCTTCACATCGTCGTCAAACGTTATTCAGCTTCGTACTGTTTTCACCCCTTCACAATATTGTGAAAGCCTCCACGTGTAGGTGCTTGCGCTCTCGCGCACCTCGAGCCTTGATCAAAGCTGTGCACGGTCACTCTTCGCTTCCAAAGTCACACAGAAAGTTCACCCGGAGTTCATCGCTCGTCACCAACTTAAATTAACGCAGTCGCTTATTTCGTCGGAAACATCCACTGAACCCTATAGCCATCGCGTCGTCTGCTAGCAAGGCAAACTGGTAGAACTTTATTACGGGCTTTTATTATCAATTTATGACGCTGAGACGCTAAAAAATATCAATCATTAGATATTGAGAAGACATGAGGCGCTCAAAAAAATAATTTACTTATTTATCGGTGTTATTCTAACCTCAGGTCGAGCCCTAATGCATTCGCCAATAGCAATGGCCCAAGCAACGGTTTGTTTTGAGCACAACGCCATGTTGTGACGTCATATCTTACGTGATCGATGCGTAAGTCCCCTTGGTGAAGGAGGTCGGGCACTTAAACCCTTTTCGAAACCCCCTCGAGCAACATTGGCGGTCGCCATTGCTGGAGCAAAAAGCGTGTGGTTGGATCCGAGTCCGCGCCCAATGCGGATGCAGCGCTCGTTGCCACTACTAGCTCGTTTAGTGGTTCTAGTCATTACTAGCCGAGCAGAGTTCACGCCGAACGCCAACACCGTGCTCGTGTCCGGTGCTTGCTCATGGAACGTGCTCAAGCAATGGCTGGCTCGGATAATTTTAGCAGCTGCTACCAGATGGCGCGCTTTCAAGAAAAGGGTATACTGTCGAGACCGGTTAACACGAACTCACCGGGAGTCGGAAATCCCTTCGCAATCTCAGCTATTTCGTTATAACCGACTTCGTTATAACCGATCTCGACAGCATTGCCAAGTTAGCGCCATCCGAGTGTGGTGACACTACGCGCAGCTAGAGGAGACTGGCCACAGGCTTTGCTAATAAAACATAGTGGGTGACAGGCTAGGGACCCTGTGGATCCTTCGCCTCGAGTGCGAGCTTGCCACCTTTGATAGCACTTGTTCGCACTCTCAGCCAAATCTTGGTGGATGGCAACAAGCTCGTGATTGAGGCTGAATATCTTGTGGGTTCTTTTAAGTTGTCCCCGACTATAGGTGGCGTTGGCTACATGTGAGACTAAAGGCTCATTCGCACAGAAGCATTTTAGAGCGCAGCTCTTAGGGGCCCGTTCTCGGCTTGAGCGGCGTCGGCGTCGGCGTCGCCGTCGGCGTCGACGTAACCAAGGTCATCCCAAGGTCACGCGACCCCCAAGGTCATCCCAAGGACGCGTGGCCCCCAAGGTCTCCCCAAGGTCACGTGACCCCCAGAGGTCACGTGACCCCTGCCCCAGGGTCACGT